TGCCCAGCTAATTTTTTGTATTTTTAGTAGAGACGGGGTTTCACCATGTTGACCAGGATGGTCTCAATCTCTTGACCTCGTGATCCACCCGCCTCGGCCTCCCAAAGTGCGGGGATTACAGGCTTGAGCCACCGCGCCCGGCCCTAATTTTTGTACTTTCAGTAGAGATGGGGTTTTACCATGTCGGCCAGGCTGGTCTCCGACTCCTGACCTCAAGTGATGTACCCGCCTCAACCTCCCAAAGTGCTGGGATTACAGGCTAAGTATTTTTTTAAATTGCTGTAATATTAGTACTTTTTTCTGAGATGACATTGAAGAAATAAATTTTTGGTTATAGGTCTGTTTGTGTCATATGAAATAAAGCATCTACTACCCTTTTTTCTTTCTTAAGTTTATATTCGTTTGTTTGTTTTTATTATTTTAATTTTAGACACAGGAGTTGCACTGTGTTACTCAGGCTGGAGTGTCATGATACAATCATAGCTCACTGCAGCCTTGACCTCCTAGGCTCAAGCGATCCTCTCACTTCAGTGTCCTGATTAACTGGGTGTCCCACCACACCTGGCTAATTTTTTTTTGTGTTATGGTAGAGATGAGGTCTCACTGTGTTGTGTGGGTTGGTCTTGGACTCTTGGGCTCAAACAGTCTTCCCTTCTTGGCATCCCAAAGTGCTGGGATTACAGGTATGAGCCACATGTGTCTGGCCAATAATACTCTAATTCTGAACCTCATACCTCTAATACATTTTTTATGGCTTTTGCAAAACAAAGTTGATAGAATTATTAACCTTTAAGTTGTAACATTAAGAAAAAACCGGGCTGGGCGTCATGGCTCACGCCTGTAATCCCAGCACTTTGGGGAGGCCAAGGCGGGTGGATTGTGAGGTCAGGTGTCCGAGACCAGCCTGACCAACATGGTAAAACCCCATCTCTATTAAAAGCATAAAAATTAGCTGGGTGTAGTGGTGTGCACCTGTAATCCCAGCTACTCAGGAGGCTGAGGCAGGAGAATCGCTTGAACCTGGGAGGCGGTTTGCAGTGAGCCAAGATTATGCCACTGCACTCCAGCCTGGGCAACAGAGCCAGACTAAAAAAAAAAAAAAAAAAAAAAAGAATAAACCTATGTATTCCACCTTTAGTAGGAAGAAAACAACTAAAACTTGTAATGTGCAGTGTGATAAGTATGAATTTTGGTTGTCCCATTTAAAATACAGCTTTGGAGATTAATTTGGGCCAGGCGCAGTGGCTCATGCCTGTAATCCCAGCATTTTGGGAGGCCAAGGTGGGTGGATTGTTTGAGCTCAGGAGTTTGAGGTCAGCCAGGGCAACATGGCAAGGCCCAATCTCTACAAAACAGTACCAAAAAAAAAAAAAAAATTAGCCAGGTGTGGTGGTGCCAGGTACTTGGGAGTGTCAGGCCGGAGGATTGCATGAGCCCAGAAGGCTGAGGTTGCAGTGAGCTTGTGGTAGCACTGCTGCACAGTAGCCTGGGCAACAGAGGGACACTCTGTCTCAAAAAAATGATTATTTCATTGGAGTTATTGAACATTGTTGGGAAAAATTTGAGAAGCTGTTAGTAATAGTAAATGTTCTTTATAGTTTATAGACAAGTTATAGTTTTAATTATATGACTTTTCAGGTCAGCTGGTTAAGATGCTGCTTTATACAGAGGTAACTCGCTATCTGGATTTTAAAGTGACTGAAGGAAGCTTTGTCTATAAGGGTGGAAAAATCTACAAGGTTCCTTCCACTGAAGCAGAAGCCCTGGCATCTAGTAAGTAGTTTTATTTTCTCACCATGAGATTTTATACTGGAAAAGTGTCTTAGGACCTAGTCAACAAATATTTATTGAATGTCTGTCATGTGCCAGACACTGTTCTAGGCAGTTGGGAATACATCAGTGAACAAAATGTTCAAAAATTCCTACCCATTTGAAGCTTAGAGTTCAAATGATCGTCTGTAGACCATGTAGCTTGTGGCTGGTAGATCTGAGCCTATCTAGGATTAATAGTGTTCTTTTCATAGTAATTCATAATAGCTATGCTTTTTGTTGAGTATTTCTTGGGTCTGAAGGCTCTGTACTGAACACTCCATATCATCTTCTTATTTGACTTTTGAAACCTCTCTATGAGATAGGGTTTCCATTTCATAGGTGATGAAACTCAGGCCTAAAATTGCATTGGTAATAAGTAGCTGGAATAAGTAGCTGGGTTGGGATTGAAACCCTGGTAGTGTTGCTCCAGAGCCCCAGTGCTTAATGATGTTACTAACCTTGCCCTACAGTACATTACCCAACATGCCAACAGGAGGAGTACTCATCCTGATGATGCTTATCTTCTGTTTGGTCTTGTTAATGATCCCCAGTATGTTTGATTTTTGGAATTCTTAGTGAGTTTGAAGTGATTTTTTTTTTTTTTAATTTTTTTGAGACGGAGTCTCGCTCTGTCACCTAGGCTGGAGTGCAGTGGCGTGATCTTGGCTCACTGCAACCTCTGCCTCCCAAGTTCAAGTGATTTTCCTGCCTCAGCCTCCTGAACCACACCTGGCTAATTTTTGTATTTCTAGTCGGATGGGATTTCACCATGTTGACCAGGACAGTCTTGATCTCCTGACCTCAGATGATCCGCCTGCCTCATCCTCCCAAAGTTATGGGATTACAGGCATGAGCCACCGCACCCGGCCTTGGAGTGATTTTGTTCTCTTCCTGACATTATGTCCTCTGTTGCCACCAAAGATTTCTGGTTAATATTTCCTTTTTTAGTGTCTCTCTTAAATAGCAAACACCCTAGAAAAGACCTTTTTGTCCTTCAAGATGTTTTAGTCCTTGTATGGAGCAGTTTGGGGAAGGATAAATTAGTATAACTAAGGCTAGGCGAGGGCTCTAGGAATTTAGAAGAGGGAAAGCTATGGACTGAGAGAACAGGAAAAGTACTCATAAGTTCTCTCATAATTATTTTGGCGTTGGTGCTGAAAAGTGTTCTCATCTATAAACCTAATTTGAATTAATTTGGCAATTTCCACTATCTCCATTTATTTACTTCTGATTAGGGAGAGAATATTGGGTATAAAACATTAATGACACTAAAGCCACAAAGTAAAAAATACCACCTAGAATCATGGCTAGGTTAGGATTGACAATTGGGTAAGGGAAGGAACAGTTTCTCATTCATTTGGAGGTAGGTAGTTGTGTGATCATTGGTTCGAAATTATTTTAAATCTTTTAAATGACTATGAAAGTTTAATCCAAATAAGTATTTTCATAAAAGTAGGAGTTTGAGTTTGAATAGAATCCTTTTTAACGGTGGCATGGAGTGGCTCACGCTTGTAATCTCAGTGCTTTGGGAGGCCATGGTAGGAGGATTGCTTTAGGCTAGGAGTTGAAGACCAGCCTGGACAACATAGCAAGCCCCTGTCTCTACAAAAAAATAAGAAAATTAGCCAGATGTGGTGGCACGTGCTATAGTCCCAGGTATTGTGGAGGCTGAGGCAGGAGGATTGTTTGAGTCCAGGAAGTCAAAGCTGCAGTGAGCTGTGATCATGCCACTGCCTTCCAACCTGGGTGACAGAGGAGACCCCTTCTCAAAAGTTTTTTTAGATAAAAAATAAAAAATAGAATTTTTTTTGACAGAGGTTGTGAGTTCTTGTACATTTTTATTCTTTCTTGGAGCTCTTATATATAATAAAGCTCCAGTTACCTCCTTCATCTAATAGAAATTATCTTTTGGCAGTTTTATTTTCTCTAATTTTTTCAGATACATAAAACATTTATGCAGCTTGAAAGTTAAACGGTATATTTAGAGTCTTGGTCTCATTCTTTTTTTTTTTTCGGAGTTAGAGTTTTGCTGTTGTCGCCCAGGCTGGAGTGCAGTGGCGTGATCTTGGCTCACCACAACCCCTGCCTCCTGGGTTCAAGTGATTTTCCTGCCTCAGCCTCCCGAGTAGCTGGGTTTACAGGCATGCACCACCATGCCCGGCTAAGTGTGTATTTTTAGTAGAGATGGGGTTTCTACATGTTGGTCAGGCTGGTCTTGAACTCCTGACCTCAGGTGATCCGCCTGTCTTGGCCTCCCCTGAGTGCTGGGATTATAGGCGTGAGCCACTGCATCTCATTCTGTCTTTTCTACGTCAATTCTTTCTGACCTGTTAGGTAAACATATTCTGGTTTAACCTCCTTCTCCTTTTGAAAAGTAAGCACATATGTTTATGTATGTCTTTATAAGATTAGGTTTATTGAGGTATAGTTTATGTATAGTAGAATTCACTTGTTTTAGTAAACAGTTTTATGCATTTTGACCAAATCACTACCTTGTCTGCATCTCTTTATAATAATGGAAAGGATTTTGAAGTCTTGAGTTGCTAGCAAGAAAATTCTAGGCAGAATGAAGGAATGGGATAAGGAAAGGTGGAGAGGTGGCAAAGTTCAAGGGATGAGTGGGTAAGAACAAGTTTTATAATTTTAACAGAGACTCACAGTTTTTTGAGCATTTATGTTCTAGGCATATATGTGTTAAGTATTTTATGTGTATTATCTAACTTTATATAGTTTTCACTGCAACCCCGTGAGATGCAGGTGCTGTTATTATTACTTTGAATTTTACAGATGGGAAAGCTGAGGTATAAAAGGACAGCACAAAGTAGTATAGCTAGTAAGGGGTTTGAAGCCAGGTCTGTTTCACTTTAGAATCCCACACTCTTAACCATGAGAAGTACTATTTTCCTATAGTATATAAAACTATTGATACATTGCTTTTTAGATATTTTAACAATTATTACATACCTCCTAATTCTAATTTTTTTTTCCATACTAAATACTTTAGTCTCCTTTCTCATGTAATATGCTATCTAGATCTCTTGGCTACTGTTTGGAAATTCTCTGGTGAGTCAAGATCCTGTATGTAATACGGCAGCTAGACTAGAGACAGTATCCCAAATGTTTTCTGCTCATTCAGTGTCAACAGGACTGTTAACTTTTTTTTGTTGTAGCCCAGGCTAGAGTGCAGTGACACAATTTTGGCTCGTTGAAACCTCTGCCTTCTAGGTTCAAGCAATTCTGCCTCAGCCCCTGAGTAGCTGTGATTACAGGTGCATGCCACCACACCTGGCTTATTTTTTTTTTTTTTTTTTTTGAGACGGATTTTGGCTCTTGTTGCCCGGGCTGGAGTGCAATGGTGCAATCTCGGTTCACTGCAACCTCCGCCTCTTGGGTTCAAGTGATTCTCCTGCCTCAGCCTCCTGAGTAGCTGAGATTATAGGCATGCACCACCATGCCTGACTAATTTTGCATTTTTAGTAGAGACTGGTTTTTCTATGTTGATCAGGCTGGTCTCAAACTCCCAACCTCAGGTGGTCCGCTCGCCTTGGCCTTCCAAAGTTCTGGGATTACAGGCATGAGCCACCATGCCCAGTCATAATTTTTGTATCTTTTAGTAGAGAAGGGGTTTCTCCATGTTTGCCAGGCTGGTCTTAAACTCCTGGCCTTAAGCGATTTGGCCACCTTGGCCTCCCAAAGTGCTGGGATTATAGGCGTGAGTCATCATGCCTGGCCCAAGAACATTTAAAATTTTATGCATTTATTTTTTTTTTAAACAGGGCCTCATTCTGTCGCTCTGGATGGAGTGCAGTGGCACGCTCATGACTCACTGTGGCCTTGATCTCCTAGGCTCCAGCGATCTTCCTACCTGAGCCACCATGCCTGGCCCCTCAAAGTTTTAATTTTCAGTTTTGTTGGTTGGAAAATGATCTTGGATGAATACTAAATCTATGAAAACATTAAGCAGTCAATAGAAATGTTTTAAAGTTTTTTGTTGTTGTTGTTTGTTTTTCTTTTTTCCTTTCTTCTAGTCCAGTGGCAAAGCACAATTCACATTTAGAAAACCCACTTAAAGACACTTAGATGTTTGTTTTAAGATGGAGTCTTGCTCTATCACCCAGGCTGGAGCGCAGTTGCACTATCTCAGCTCACTGCAACCTCTGCCTCCTGGGTTCAAACGAGTCTCCTGCCTCAGCCTCCTGAGTAGCTGGGATTACAGGCATGTACCACTACGCCTGGCTAATTTTTGTATTTTATTTATTTAGCCAGTCAAATTTAGCAGTGGGGGAATTTTTGTATTTTTAGTAGAGACAAGGTTTCACCATGTTGGTTAGGCTGGTCTCGAACTCCTGACCTTGTGATTCCCCCCCCCCTCAGCTTCCCAAAGTGCTGGAATTATAAGCGTGAGCCACTGCACCTGGCGAGAGTTTGCTTTTAAAACTGTGGTTGTATTTTAAAAATAGCTGTTTAACTTAGGAAAGGGGGGCAAAGGGAGGTAAAACCAAAAAATTTTCTTTTTCATTGGCTATTTGTCTTTCTACCATCCATGATTAGTTGATATACAGCCTAATAGTAAAAGCTGAGGATTTATAAAATGGTAGTTTGTAGCTTCTTCATCTGTTTTTTAGTGTAAAATGTAGTGAATTGGCTGCTTATATAGGACTTCAGTAAAGTAAGTGACTAGCAGCAGCAGCATCATCTGAATTTCATTGAGGTCAATTTGTTCTTGGTATCTTAAGCTGTTATCATTAAATGCCCAACTGTATCTTAAAACAGTGGCAGAAAAGGAAGAACATTCAGAATTGATGCAATTGGCTGAGTATAGATCAGAGTTGTCAAAGGAAGACTCTTCAGATGGATGTCTTCATGGATACTTGTTCAGGGTCACATACACCTTGTACCTAGTAAGAGACATAATTTGACATTTTTCATTCAGTTAAGTACTAGTTTTAATTACTTGTAATTGTATGGTAAAATTGAAGACTTCATAAGTGACCTGTTGTAATCGTGTCAGTTTATTTTGAAGTGTTGTGAAGCTGGAAGCCATGTTGTCCAAACTGCCTTATCTTAAATCGCGTCCTACATTTGGCCGGGCATAGTGGCTCACGCCTGTAGTCCCAGCACTTTGGGAGGCCAAGGCAGTCAGATCATCTGAGGTCATGAGATTCCTACCAGTCTAACATGGTGAAACTCCGTCTCTACTAAAAATACAAAACTTAGCTGGGTGTGGTGGTAGGCGCCTGTAATCCCAGCTACTTGGGAGGCTGAGGCAGGAGAGTCACTTGAACCTGGGAGGTGGAGGTTGCGGTGAGCTGAGATCGCGTCACTGCACTCCAGCCTGGGCGACAGAGGGAGACTTGGCCTCCAAAAAAAAAAATAATTGCATCCTGTGTTCTTCAGTGGATAGCATTGCACGTTTAAACTTTCCTCTCATACTTTGTTTTTCTCAATGTCTGATTGTAAGTGTGGGCATTTTGAAAAATATTTTATTTAGGTTTAATGGGACTGTTTGAAAAACGTCGCTTCAGGAAATTCCTAGTGTATGTTGCCAACTTCGATGAAAAAGATCCGAGAACTTTTGAAGGCATTGATCCTATGAAGACCACAATGCGAGAGGTGTATAAGAAATTTGATTTGGGCCAAGATGTTATAGATTTTACAGGTCATGCTCTTGCACTTTACAGAACTGATGAGTAAGTATTTTGGTTTTTAGATTTGTATTTTTCTTGAATTTCTCACTAAATTTCCCAATTCTTTCAAGTGGAAATTCTGACAAAACAAATGTATAGCCATTTTACACTACAAAAGAACATGTTCTAGTTGAAATTAGTGTTGGGGCCTTTTAAGTGAAATATGAAGGTGGTGGGCCAGGTGCGGTGGCTAATGCCTATAATCCCAGCACTTTGGAAGGCTGAGATAGGTGGATCATTTGAGGTCAGGAGTTCAATACCAGCTGGCCAACATGGTGAAACCCCCTCTCTACTAAAAATACAAAAATTAGCTGGGCAGTAGTGGTGTGCATCTGTAAGTCTAGCTACTTGGGAGGCTGAGGCAGAAGAATCGCCTGAGCCTGGGAGGTAGAGGTTGCAGTGAACTGAGGTCACACCACTCCACTGCACTCCAGACTCGAGTCCACGGGACAGAGTGAGAGAGTGAGACCCTGTCTGAGGAAAAAAAAAAAAAAGTAGTGGATTGAAATCACATCAAAAAATAATTTAAATTGAACGTCATGAATGAAAACTAAACCCTTTTCTAATATTATTCATTTCCTTTTCTCCAGCTACTTAGATCAACCATGTTGTGAAACCATTAATAGAATTAAACTTTACAGTGAGTCTTTGGCAAGATATGGCAAAAGCCCATACCTTTACCCACTCTATGGCCTTGGAGAATTGCCCCAAGGATTTGCAAGGTAAGAGCCTATGTTTAACCTGTTAGCTAAAACTTCACTGGTCCTGAACCTCATCTTCAACATAATGTGTATATGAAATACAGTTTAAATAATGAGGTGAGACCAGTCTATGAATAAGAAGATGCTTTTTGTTTTTATTGAAATTAACATATAACGATATGCCTAGATCTTCAGTTAAAAAATTCACTTTTGGGCACAGTGGCTCACGCCTTTAATCCCAGCACTTTTGGAGGCTGAGGCAGGTAGATCACCTGAGGTCAGGAGTTTGAGACCAGCCTGGCCAACATGGTAAAACCCTATCCCTGACAAAAATTAGCTGAGCTCAGTGGCACATGCCTGTAATCCCAGCTACTCTGGAGGCTGAGGCAGGAGAATCGCTTGTGACCAGGAAGCAGAGGCTGCAGTGAACTGAGAGCCTGCCACTGTACTCCAGCCTGGGTAGCAGAGCAAGTCTCCATCTCAAGAAAAAAAAAAAAATTCAGTTTTATACAACTGCAGCTAATGTGCTCTTGAAAGTACCAGCTCCTGGCTGGAGGCCAACCAACACAAGACCAGCACACTTAACAAAAATATAACCAGGGACTTTTCACAGAGTCTACTTCACACCCCTGCTACCTCCACTAGAGTAAATGCTGGTATCCACAGCTGAGAGACCTGGAGACAGATCACATGGCAGGACTCTTTGCAGACGTACCCCAGTACCAGCCTGGAGCCTGGTATCTCCACTGGGTGGCTAGATCCGAAGATAAATAACAATCACTGCAGTTTGGCTCTCCAGAGCCCTATCCCTAGGGTACAGGGGAGAGCACACATCAAGGGAGCACCCCTGTGGGACAAAAGAATCTGAACAGCAGCCCTTGAGTCCCAGATCTTCCCTCTTACATAGTCTACCCAAATGAGAAGGAATCAGAAAACCAGCTGGAGTAATATTGCAAAACAGGGTTCTTTAACACCCTGAAAAGGTCACATTAGCTTATAACCAGTGGATCTAAACCAAGACAAAATCTCTGAATTGCCAGATACAGAATTCAGAAGGTTGATTAAGCCAATCAAGGAGCCACCAGAGAAAGGTGAAGTCCAACTTAAAATTAAAAAATATATACAGGATATGAATGGAAAAATTTCCGGTGAAATAGCCTAAATAAAAAATAGTCACAATTCTGAAAATCAAGGACACACTTAGAGAAATGCAAAATGCGCTGGAAAGTCTCAGAAATATGATTGAAAAAGTAGATGAAAGAATTTCAGAGTTCAAAGACATGGCTTTTGAATTAGCCCAATCTGACAAACGCAAAGAAAAAATAATTCAAAAAAAACGAACAAAGCTTCCAATAAGTTTGTTAAATGACCAAACCTAAGAATAATTGGTGTTCCCAAGGAAGAAGAGGAATCTAAAAGTTTGGAAAACATATATTTGAGGAAGTAATTGAGGAAAACTTCCCCGGCCTTGCTGGAGATCTAGACATCCAAATATAAGAAGCTCAAAGAGCACCTGGAAAATTCATCACAAAAAGATCATCACCTAGGCACATAGTCAGGTTATTTGAAGTCATGATGAAGGAAAGAATCTTAGCTGTGAGACAAAAGCCTCAGGTAACCTATAAAGGAAAAACTATTAGAGTAACAGATTTCTCAGCAGAAACTGTACAAGCTAGAAGGGATTGGGGCCTTATGTTTAGCCTCCTTAAACAAAACAGTTATTAGCCAAGAATTTTATATCCAGAGAAACAAAGCTGTGTAAATGAAGGAAAGATAGTCTTTTTCACACAAATACGTGCTGAGAGAATTCGCCACTACCAAGCCAGCACTTCAGAATGGCTAAAAGGACCTCTAAATCTTGAAACAGATTCTCAAAATATACCAAAATTGAATCTCCTTAAAGCATAAATCACATAGGACCCATAAAACAATAACATAATGAAGAAAAGAAAAGCCAAGATATTAAAAAAACCAAGGTATTCAGGCAAACAAGTAGCACGATAAATAGAATAGTACCTCAAATCTCAATACTAATATTGAATGTAAATAGCCTACATGCTCCACTTTAGAGATACAGAATAGTAGAATGGATAAGAACTTATCCACCAAGTATCTGCTGTCTTCAAGAGATTCAGCTGCCACACAAGGCCTCACATAAACTTAAGGTAAAGGAGTGGAAAAAGATATTTCATGCAAATGGATACCAGAAGTGAGCAGGAGGAGCTATTCTTATATTTTATATTTTATAAATATTTTTAAAAATAAAAAACAATCAGTTTGATAAATGTATAGACCTGTCCCTATCCTGGGTTTAACTAAAACCCCAGTGAAAGTGTAGAACATTTTCCTCACCCCATACAGTTCCCTTGTGTTATCTCATAATACTGCCCCCGCCACCCCCAGCAACTACATGTGTGATTTCTAGCACTATAGATTACTTTTGCTTGTTTTCAGAGTTCACGTAAAAGGAATAATATGTGCTCATTTGTTTCTTTTTCATATTTTTGAGATTCATCCATGTTGGTGCATGTGCCGATTTTTGTTTTTGAGATGGAGTTTTGCTCTTGTTGCCCAAGCTGGAGTCCAATGGTGTAATCTGAGCTCACTGCAACCTCTGCCTCCCAAGTTCCAGTGATTCTCTTGCCTCAGCCTCCCAAGTAGCTGGGACTACTGGCATGCACTACCATGCCTGGCTAATTTTGTATTTTTAATAGAGGCAGCGTTTCTCCATGTTGGTCAGGCTGGTCTCGAACTCCCAACCTCAGGTGATTCGCCCTCAGAGTGCTGGGATTACAGGCATGAGCCAACATACTTGGCTAATTTTTTGTATTTGGTAGTGACGATGTTTCACCATGTTGATCAGGCTGGTCATGAACTCCTGACTTCAGGTGATCCACCTGCCTTGGCCTCCCAAAGTGCTGGGATTACAGGCATGAGCCACTGCGCCCTGCCAATTCTTTTTTTTAAATTGTTGAGTAGGATTCCATTATATGAATTATATGAATATGTAATTCTCCTTTGGTGGACACCTAGTTTGTTTTCAGGTTTTGGTTATTATGAATGAAGGCAGTATGAAATTTTTATATAAAAGTATTTCTGTGGGGATATAGGGTTTAATTTCTTTTGGGTAAATACCAGGAGTGAAATTGCTGACTGATATGGCAGATAGAAATCTGACTTCGTAAGAAATTGCAAAACAGTGTACTGGAGTGGTTGTGTCATTGTGTATATACTCAGCAGTGTGTGAGAGTTGCCCCACATCCTTGTCAACATTTAGTATTGTAAGTCTTTTTAATTTTAATTGCCCAAGTAGGTGTGAAATGCTATCTGATTATGGTTTTAATTTGCATTTCTTGAGGACTCATGTTGCTTACCTTTTCATGAGCTTATTGACCATTTGTATACTTTTGTGCTGCGATTGTTCAACTCTTTTGCACATTTCTAAAGATTGGATTGTCTTTCTATTTTTGACATGTAGGAGCTCTTGGTGTATTCTGGTGGCAAGTCTTTTGTCATATATGTATTAAGAATATTTTCTCCCAGTCTGTGGCTGGTCTTTTGATAAGCAGACGTGGTAACTTTTTTTTTTTTTTTTTTTTTTTGGAGACAGAATCTTTTTCTGTCACCCAGGGTGGAGTGCAGTGGCGTGATCTTGGCTCACTGCAACCTCTGCTTCCTAGGTTTAAGCAATTTTTGTGCCTCAGCCTCCTGGGTAGCTGGGACTACATTTAGGTTCCACCACACCTGGCTAATTTTTGTGTTTTGAGATTGGGTCTCACCATGTTGGCCAGGCTGGTCTCAAACTCCTGACCTCAAGTGATCCACCTGCCTTGGCCTCCCAAAGTGCTGGGATTACAGGTGTGAGCTATTGCACCTGGCCTGGAAGTGTTACCTTTTGATGATGTCCAGTATATTAAAAAAATTTTTTTTTTAATGTTTATAGCCTTTTGGGTCCTATTTAAGAAATCTTTACTTTCCCCCAAGGGCACAGAAATATTCTCCTATGTCTTTTTTTTAAGAAGTTTTACAGTTTTACTTGTGCATTTAAATCTGATTCATCTTGAAATAGTGTTGGTGTGTGGGATGAGGTAGGACTTGAGGTTCACTTGAAGTTTATTCTTTTTTTTATGTACTGTTATTTAGTTGTTCTAGCTGCATTTGTTGGAAAGACTTCCTTTTCTAGGTGGCCTTGGTGCCTTTGTGGGAGATCATTGGCTATGTTTTGTTTTGGGACTCAGTTTTGTTTCAATGATTTGTATTTCCTATGCCGGTACTACACTGTCTGGGTAATTACAGTTTTATATTAAGTCTTGAAGTAGGTGATACACTTTCTCCAACTTTTTCTTCAGAATTTCTTTTGGCTGTTGTAGGTCCTTCGCATTTCCATATACGTTTTTAAAATCAGGTTGTCAATTTCTAGAAAAAATGCTTGCTGGGATTTTGGTATTGAGTTCAATCTATAGATCAATTTTGAGAAAATGATCATCTTAATTATGTTGAGTTTGCCAATCCAGGAATATGATTGTTATCTATGTAATTAGGTTTTCTTCTCAGCAGTGTTTTGTAGCTTTCATTGTAGAGGTCTATTGCATTTTTTGTTCAAATCTCTGTATTGATGCTGCTGTTAATGAAATTGTTTTAATTTTATGTTGAAATTGTTTGCTGCTAGCTTACAGAAATACTTCATATTTGTATATTGACCTTGTACTTAAATTTTACTAGTTTACTTATTAGTTTTTCTGGTTTTATATGTTTCTTAGAATTTTCTTCATACACAGTCATGTCATCTGTGAATAAAGGGATTCTTCTCTTAGAACTTTTATGTGTCCCCCCCCCCCCCCC